GCGAAACCGAGACCCCTTTGGTGAAGAAGTCTTCCGGTCTGTGACTGCATGCAATGTGAAAGACGTCTCCAGTGGCAGGCTGCATGCTTGTGTGTTGCAAAGCACATGCACTCCATCATCTGCCTGCTGCCCGCTGCTGCTCTATATAGACAGGTGTTCGCAAGCAGGGCTACAGCAGCTCGCTTTGTGCAGAGCATCTGTGCTATATCCGGCCGTGCAATGGCAGCTGCTTTCCTTCGACAGCTGAACCAGCTCCTCCAGACCCAGCAGCCCATCATGGGAGATCAATGGACTTCTCTCTTGGCTGCTCAGAGCGAGGTCGCCATCAGAACGATTCGTCAAAGCCACATCACAGTCGAGGAGGGTGCAGAGATCTGCAGCTTGGTGCAGCAGGGCCTTTGGTCACACGAGCAGAAGCAGGCCCTGGGTGCAGCCGTCTCCCAGACCTTGGCAGGCAGCACTCCAGCAAATGCCAAGGCCAAGAAGAAGAACCAGGAAATTCTCAACTTCTGGGGTTTCTTGGGCGCCGAGGACCGGAGAGTTTTGTCCAGCGACGACACCCTCGTCATGAGGCTGACTCACACTGCTCAGATAATGGCTCGACTGGAGATGTTCTGGCCATCAGAACAGTCTGTGGGACACATCATCAAGACCCTGCAGAGTTGCAACAATACTGGCTTGCAGAGCCCCGACGAGTTCCATTCGGCTGTCGTGTGCCTCAAGAAGAAGGTGAAGACCATGCTCAAAGATGCTTCCTGTGGCGAGTTCGTCGCCAAGTACACTCGGCCTGAGGATCTTCCACCACACACCCGAGATCGCTTCGCAGATGCCTTGGGAGGTGAGCTGCCTGGAACAATGGTGCTGGCCCGTGATGCTCTTCGTGGCAGTAACAAAAGCCTCTCTTTCCACAAGAGCAACACTGCCATGGTGCTGGGTGGTCCAGCAGCAGGCCCGGCAATGCACATGCCCCACACCATGCAGGGTATGATGCAGTTCTGGGGCAGCATGGCAGCTAACATGTTCAACCAGCAGCAGCAATTGGCGAAGAAGAACGATGGATTGCCTGGGTTGAAAATCTTCGGCGACCCAGCTGCTGCCGCCTCGTCTGGGACGATGGCCTCCTCGCCTGCTCAACAGCAGGCCTTGCAGCTTCCTACAGTTACCAATGAACCGGCACAGGGCAGCGGAACAAAGCAGGCCGAGCAACAGGGAGTGCTGGCCAGCAAGGATCCTGTCAGTGCTGCACAACATGCAGATGAAATGCTTCAAGCTTGGAAGGGCGACAACAAAGGGTTCGACAGCACCGTCGAGGCCGAGGCCAAGGAAAACGAGGCGAAGCACAAGGCAAATAAGAAGCCCAAGGCTGCAGCCAAGGCCAAGGGTAAAGCCAAGGCCAAGGCTAAGGCGAAGGCCAAGTGCACGGCCATGAAGTCCCAGCCCAAAGCAAAGTCGCAGCCCAAGGCGAAGGCCAAGGCTGCTTGCAAGGCGAAGGCGAAGTCGCAGCCGAAGAAGGTCCAGAAGGCTTTGCAGAAGTTCACTCGAGAAGAGGTCCGATGCATGACTTCGTCGGCTCGCATCAAGCTGCGACCCAATGGGTGTGGCAAGTGCCGGAACAGGCCCGGCTGCACACCGTCGTGCTTTGGCCCGTGATTGCATCAACAGCTGCTGAAAGCATGCACAGCTGGAGTCCTATATAGGGTGAGAGTTTGGAGGCTACAGGCAGAGTGTATACATCTTAAGTCTATATGCATGTTGACGTGTTTTGGTGTCTTCCAGCATCAGCAAAGTTTTGTTCGCGAGCCTCCAGGAAGCATGCACCTTATTATTCATCTTTCACAAAGGCTGTGTGTACATTAAAGGCATTGTACCTCGGGAGGTATAATGTTGGGAGCATCGCTTGCCACGGAGGGAAAGACCGAAGCGATCCTGGCAGGTGTCAAAAGCGGTGGTGCAGGATGCCTGCACGATCCGGGTTTTTGTTTCGTGGCATATTATATATGTGTTATATACATATATATATATAGATATACTTTACATATGGGATGTATATATATATATATATATAGGAGCCTATATATACTTTATATATATATATATGGGTTGAATATATATTGATATATATATATATATACACACACATATATTATACAGGGGTGTCCTTTTAGGAGGGTGCGAATGTGGACCCTTCTTCGAGAGCTATGTTGAAGCTTTCGAGTTGTACATGTATATATTATATATGGCTTTGCGATTTATTAAGATGTGTCTCAGGATCACGTTTGGTGTTAGGTTAGGTTTGGTGTGGTATATACTATATATATATATATATATAACTGTATATACATGTATATATATGTGTACAAATCAATACTCGGATGCTATATATCTATAGCTTTCGGGTTTCTGTGTATACATATATATATATCAAATATTTAGTTTCGGGTTTATGGTTAAAGGTTGTCTTGGCCTTGCACTGGAGTTTCCCGGACTGCTCGCAGTGGGGTTGCACCGTTGCAGCAATATGCTTGGAAACCTGCAGGAACAAAGAGCATGCATATATACATGTAAACAAAACATATCTCTGTATATATATATATATATAGATATATAAGGTACGTACACAGTGCCTGCATGCTCCCATCCACTTTTCCTATATATAGTATACCTTTTATACAGATATACATATATATATATGTATGAATCTGCAGTCAAAGTAGTGGGTCGCTCGGCAGGGCCAAGAGCTCGCCAGCAGACCCCATGGCTTCCGCCGGGAGCTCCTCGCTCTCCTGCTTGGGAAGGAAATCATATGTATCCCAGCGAGGTCTCAGTCAGGTCTTGCAGGAACTCAAAGAGCTGCCCGAGTTGCCATCTGGGACGAGTCGCCGAACACTGAAGCGGGCCCGGGATGAGAAGACTCGGAGCTACCAAACTGCTTATGGCGAGATCCTATGCGACTTCAAGTGTGTTGCCGAAACTGGTGTGGAGTTTGAATTTCCTGTCTTGAACCCAGCTGCAATGCTTGCCTGGGCGACAGAGCGATGTCGACCATTTGGCGAGTTCCTGGAGAGGGCCATGGATGCCACACCCCCCAGCATTCTTCAACCATGGGGATTGGTGTGGTATTCCGACGAGCTGGCTCCGGGCAACCAACTCAAGCACTCCAACCGGAGAAAGGTCCAGGCCGTATATTGGAGCCTGCTCCCTTTGGGACAGCATGCAATGGGTTGCGAAAATTGCTGGTTCACTCTCTGTGCCATTCGCAGCTCTCTGGTCGCAGATCTCGGCGGCATGACTGTGCTCTTCAGGCAGCTAGCAGCCTTGTTCTTTGAGAGACCTGACTTCAGAAAAGGTCTTGTGTTGCAGTGCCCTGGACAAGCACGTATGCTCTTTGCCGACTTGAAGATCATCATATCCGACGAAGCTGCAATTAAGGCTACCCTTTTCAATAAAGGAGCCAGTGGGCTCATATTCTGTGTTCAATGCCAAAACGCCGTGGACCACAAAAGCAGCATTGCTGAAAGGAGTCGGGGCAATATGGTGTCCGGCCTGGAAACCGACATGAGTTGCTTTCGGATGCACACACCCGAGTCTATACGAGACACCATGGACTTCTTGCGAAGGCAAGAGAGGGTCCTCAACAAAGACAGATTCCTGCAACTCCAAACAGCAATGGGGTTCAATTTCAAAGAGGATGGATTGCTGGCACATGCAGCATACGGGCCTCCGGTCATCGAGTGTGTGATGTTCGATTACTTCCATGTCTATTTAGTCAATGGCATCTTCAATGTTCTGACAGGGTTTTTTCTTGGAGAGCTTCACAACCATGGCTGGAAGCACAATGACATTGATCGCTTCGCAAATGGTTTTACCTGGCCTTCTCGTTTGCGAGGTGCTGCTGCAAAGGATATCTTGCAGAAGCGAAAGCCAAGCGAAACCTTGAAGTGTGGAGCCAGCGAGGCTCTGAACTTTATGCAGCTGCTGCGACTCTATGTGCTAGTCTTTGTGCTGCCAAATTGCAGCAGAGATATCCGGGACTCTTGCGAGGTTTGGTTGGCTTTGTGCAAGGTGATTGATGCTTTGCAAGCGATCAATGCCAAACCTTCAGCATTTACCCCCCTGCAGTTGCAGCAGCTCATCAAAAGGCATCTCGATCTGGCGAAAAGTCGGTATGGAGATGAGTGGTGGGTGCCAAAGTGTCACTTGGCAGGCCATTTGGCGCTGCAACTGGCCAAGCATCAGGTCCTCCTCAGCTGCTTTGTGCACGAAAGAAAACATAAAATCATCAAAAAAATTTCGAATGAAATTTTGGATACAAGCAGAACCTTTGAGAGGAGCATCCTACAAGATGTACTCCATGGTCACATGGAAAGTCTGGCAGAGGGTGTATACCTCCCAGGCCAAGGAGTTCGCTTGGTCGACCCTGTGAGACCAGCTCCTGCCAGATTGCAAACAGAGATACACAACACGATCCGGGTCCAGGGTGAAGTCTTCACAGCCAGGCAGGCAGTGCATGGAGGAAACTTCACCGTGGCTGTCGGCGACTTGGCCTTGATGGATCTGGATGGGGTCACTGCCGTAGGCAAAGTGGCTTATCATGTAATGTGCGAGAAAGTTGTATGGTCGCACATTACCTTCTGGACACATGTCCATGGCTGTATGTATGAAGTCTCCGACGATTGTGGCCTCGTGCAAACCCGACTGATCCGGGCCACATGCCCTTACAGCATTTCGGGCAATGCTGCCATTGTCGCAGTCCCGCAGGTGTAAAAAAGAGAACTGCATGCGAGCTTTAAAGCCCTGCATTGCGTCTCTGAGCAGCATGCTTCATGCAACTTAGATCACTTAGCTCACTTATCTTTTTCATATAAATACACTTAGCTAACCAAGTTAACTTCAACATAGCTAAGTTCAATAACTACACTTACACATCTCATATAAGTCATTTGCTAACTGTGCCAAACAATTAACAACCTGCATATACAATTACTAACACCCCCGCCCCTTCAAGTAACCCTGAAGGCGGGCGGCTCTTTTTGCCCAAAGCCGGGCGAGCCGCCGTCCGCACCGGCGCGGCAGCTGGGGCGCAGGTCCCCACGTTCTGTCGCAGGGCCACGGTTGCGGGCATCCGCGTTGCGATCGTCCTGGCGCGAGGCACGCCTTATCTGGTCTTCCGCGGGCGCGAAACGCGCCGCGGGGGCAGGGCTTGCCTCTTCCCAGGAGAGGGGCCCACGACCAGTGAGGTGTGCGATGGCGTGGTTGGTATCGCGCTCCTTGTCGTCGGTGGAGCGTCGCTGCCGCCACCGCTGCCACTTGAGCGCGGCCCTGCGCTTGGAGTCCTTTTGCCTGGGCCTATTGTCCGGAGGCCGAGCTGCCCTCGCTTCTTCGCGGAGCATCCGTCGGAACTCTGTGAGCTCCTCGCGGGCTCGGCGGTCCATCTCGGCATCCAGGGCCGGGCCCCGCTGGTCGACAGGGAGGCCGGCTATCACGCTGGTAGCGGCGGCCCTCTCCTCTGCCGCTTGTGCAACCTGAGCCTCCCTGTGGCGCGCGGCTCTTTCCCTCCCCTTCTGCTTGCGCCGTTCGACCCAGACAGCCCCGCCTGCGGCAATTGCCTGCTGCATGCGGGCGTCCGAGGTCTTCGGCTCCGGGTTGCTCTGCTCCAGTGCCCTGTTTTTTGGAGTCAGGGACTGCAAGTACTCTGACTCGGTGCGGGCTCTCTGGGCGACGTCCCGCTGGACATCCAGGGTGCGGATCTTGCCCTCGAGCGAGGCGACCCCACGCTGGTACGCCAGCTGTTCCAAGCGGTCCAGGGTTTGGCTTTTGGTCACAGCTGACACGTTGCTTCCTTCCACCACCCGCTTGAGACTCTTGAAGTTTGCTGAGTCGGCTTGGGCGATTTCTCGGATAAGCTGAAGGTGCGCTGTGCCAAAGCGAACTTTGGGCGATTCGGACCGAGTTCTAGTGGCCGTCCGCTTGGTCGGTCCACTGACCTCGCCTGCTCTTGAAACGGAGGCAGCTCGCGTCCCAGAGGAAGAGGCGGCCTCCGGGCGCGAAGCGCGCCGCGGAGAAGCCTCCTCCTCGGGAGCCCCAGCTTCCGTTGAGCCCTCCCCCGCGGGGATCGCTTGGACTATGATGGGCTCTTCTTATTCTTCGGCCGACCAATCAGGTTCATCGTCGCCAGCCGGTTGCAAAATTTCAAACGTGGAGGGCTTCACGAAGATTGTAGCAGGCTCCTGGCCGGCGGCGACCGGCCCGAGAGCTTTGGCCACCGCCGCCAGACTCTCAACCGGTCCCGGGGCAACAGTCTCAGTGTTCAGCGGGAGGCTCGCTTCATCTTCGCTGACCTCAATGGCTTCGGCTGCATCCTCTTGGTCGGCGGCTACCGCAGCCTCCTCTGACAGAAAGGGGTGCGGGGTCTTCTGACCCACTTGCGGGGCCCGACGGAACCCGAGCGGACGCTGGCGTCAGCACTACCGGCGGCGGATGACTGGGTGCCGAAACACGGGCCGGCGGGAAGCTGCTCTTATAGCCGGGTCCCGCGCTGGCGGGAAGCTACTCTTCGAAGTGTCCTTAGGTGGCGGGAAGCTCGCAGCCCCTGCAGCTCTCGCGGGTGGAAAACTTTTCCAGCGCCAGGGCCTCCGCGGGATTCCCCCGGCCCCGGGCGCGAAGCGCGCCGCGGGGAGGGGTTCCTTGCCGAAGCTCCTCCTCCAGAGTGCTCAGCCCAGTCAAACCCAGACCCTGGAGCCAAGCTCGCCTCGAACTCCTTCCAAGGGAGGATAGCGAAACAGCTCGGAGGGCAACACGTGGTCCGCCAGGTAGATCCCGTTTCCCGTCAGCCGGAAGGCCACGTGGTTTTCGGCCTGCGCCTTACAGGCGTCTATCAAGATGATACCTCGAGGTCGGGGTGCCACTTACGGTGTGGGTGCTTGGGGTCCTGCTCGGCACCAATCCTTCTGCTTGGATGCTCGGCACATGTGCACTGTAGGTCCCGTGCACCAGGACGCCGGGCAGGGAACCCGCCGCGACGTGCTGGGCTGGGCCCAGAACACCCCGGATGGTGTGACCAGACCAGGCCGCGACTTGCTCTACGCCCTGGGACGTCCTCACGTTGAAGCGGTTCTTGTTGGAGGCTGCCACAGCCTCTCTCACCCTGACGGAGGTCCAGCCTTCGAACCGCCTGAACCGAAGCAGCTCTTCTACGGCTATGTAGCCGTTCACGTCCACCGGGGCGGTGTGGCGGAGAAACGCTGTGAGCTTTTTTCCGTCGTCGTAGAGCCTTGACCGCTGACCAGCCTCTCTGGGTGTTCGCTCGCGAGAGCGGTCACGCGGTCTCCCGCCAGCACGGCGGTTGCTCATGCTCAAGCGGCTGTTCTCCGCCTCGAGCCAAGCCGCGACGAGAGCCCAGCAGTGGCTCTCCCACGGCAAGCTGCACGCACCCACCCTTTGCGGGGTGAGCGCGGCGCTCGCGGCTCCTGCGAGGTCGGAAGAGTCGATCCCGGGCTCGAATCGCCCCGCAAACTTCGCGGGGTCGTAAGGGCACCTGCGACCAAATCCAAGTAGGCTCCAATGGCCGCTTCCAGGGCTGCCGAAGGTGGCTCAGCCAAGGGTGACCCTTCCGGCCACAGCTCAAAGCTGGTTCTTGTCTCGGTCCCGGGTACCTTCGAGTACAGCCTGTCCGCACGGCCCTTGAGGGGCTCTGGGGGACGTCGGACCTTGCTGGGCCCCAGCTTCTGCTGTCTCAGCAGCTTCCGAACTCTTGGGAGCGGAAGGGCTAATAGACCGGGCGCCCTGCCCCCCCCCCGCCGTCCCCTTCCAGCGACGAGGAGGCCTGCGGGCCGAGGGGGAAAGCGAGCAGCGCGGCAGTCGCCAAAATGGGTGTGGGCACCCCGACAAAGGCGGGAAACACCAGTCCAGGCACCGGCCGGCCAACCCCGCACCAACCACGACAAACAGCCGCCCCCCCCGGGGGAAGGGCACAGCTGTCGACGCGCGCGCGATCCCACGCACGCTCGCAAGAAAGAAGCACAAACGTTTTGTGCGTCCACAAGCGGTGGGTAACAGGGCCGGCGAGGGCTCCCGCCTGACCTCGCGCCTCAACATGAGCCTGCAAGACTCCGAGGAACTCGAGAAAGGCGTGGAGGGGTCCAGCGGGCATAACTAATTCGGGACCAACCCAGAGCAGGACGCGGTCCCCTTCAAAGCTGTCCAGGAGCTGCAGCAACGCTGCCCTGGCTCTGGGCTCAGCAGCGAAAGCCCAGCTCGGATCACCAATGGCGACACCATCGTTGACCGGGCCGGGGCAGCCAACGACAACGGCCGAGTGGCCAGCCAGCGAGGCACACCCGAACAAGTGCTCGAGATCTGAGGGGGTGAACCTGTGAAGGGCAACCGGCGCCCCGGGCTTGAAACACGCCGCGGGGGAAACGCCGCCGCGCCTCAGAGGCTGCAGCCCAAAAGTTGGTGGGACAAAACCGGAATGGAACGCGCGCTCAGGCGCGTCCGACCGGCAGACAGGACAAGCCAGAACGCGCCGGGCCGGAAGACAGGCCTCGGCTGGCTTGGCGGCTTCCAGGTGAGGCTCCCACCCAACCATCAAGAGTTCTCGACCAAACGGGTACGCCGCGGAGGCTGGAGGCAAGAGGAGCCGCATATGACCCTTGTGCACAAGGAGCCATACAACAGGCCCATCAGGGCCAGAACGGCTGCCCACCAGGTATTCCACAAGAGCACTGCCATGTGGTTCCACCCGCCAGACCCCAAACGTCAAATGCTCCCAAGCCGGTTGCGGGTAGGCGACGAGGGTGCGATAGTCCCGATCGTGGCCGAAATGCAGGAGGTCATGGTTGAACACCCTGAAGTCGGCCTCGGCCCGAGTGAGATACTCGGGGGGCGGCCCTAACTGGGCCTCGACCTCCCGCGCTGAGTGGTTCATCGCTTCACGGGCAGCTTGCCCCAGAAGTTGAGCCGCAGCCAGCGTTGGGAGTTCGCCCTCTGTAGAAAGGACACCCGCTGCAACGTGGAGCGTCTCGTTGCGCCCCAATAGGGCTTGCATGTCGGGACTGAGAGGGAGCCGGTCCTGGTAGTCAAACTGACGCCAGTGGGCTCCGTTGTACTCGAAGGTGCCATAACCGATACCCCGTCCCAGCTGATCCGACCCACAAGCTCTCGACAAGCGCTGGGTAGACTCGAGGTATTCAGTCGCCTGGGAGGCAAGCTCCGGGCCCCCCAGAGTAGTAGCGACCTGGAAACAGGCCTGCAGCCGCTCTTGTGGGGGCTTCCGAATCGTGGTGGAGCAGGTAGTTCCTGACGAACACTGTGAGGAGGTCCGGCATCTCAGAGAGGGGCGGGTCCTGAGAAGCGAGCAAGGCCTCGACTGCCCGCATCGCACTGGTCCGGGTGGTAAGGTCCAAGCCCGCGAACTCGTAACCTGGAGGTAACTCTTCGGCAGTACTTGTACCAGTCGTAATCGGCGCCCTGCACGAGCTTGCGGAGGCCCTCCTCTTGGAGGGTATAGCCTCCGTCCCTAAGTTCGATTGGGGGCTCGGGAGGAGGTGGCACGCTGTGTTTCCCGGGCTCGAAACGAGCCTCGGGGAGCTGTGGTTCGGCGTCGAGTTCGCCTGCACGGGTTCCCGGAGTGGGGTCGGGGGGCGGCTTAGATGGGGTGGCGCCAGCCACCTCTCCAGCTCGGTTGGCTTTCCGGCCGGGCCTACGCCGACCCCCACCCTCCTGGATCTTAGCAGCCTGGTCCTGGGCTTCCAAGCTTCGCAGGCTGGTCATTTCCTTAACGAGCTCGTCAGTGGATCGCTTGGCTGTACTGCGCAATCCCCCCCGACGGAGGAGCTGCAGCTTGATAGAATAGTCAAGAGCCTTCCACTTGACCGAGCCCTTGTGCGACAGGCTGCAGTCGGTTTTCTTACAACCTCGATGGGTGAAGAAATCCCAGCACTGGAAATGCCCGTCCGCGTCCCTGGGCCGGTGCTCTAGAGCTCGAGCGGTCTCTTTCGGGGAAAGCCCCGGGCCTACGAGAGCTGGGGGGGGGCCCCCACCCTTGCCAGCTGCCCCGCCAGCGCGGGTGGGTGGTTCGTCTGGTTTTCCCGGGTGCCCAGCTTGCCCGTCGGCCGAGGAGTCGCCGGCCCTGCCCCCGCCTCCCGGGAGGCCAGCACGCGCAGGACCGCGAAGGGCCTGAGCCCACGCGGCACGCGACAGTTGGCGCTAGTCTATCCAGGACATCCGTGGTGAAGTACTCGCGTGGGTCCTCAAGCCGGAATGTGCCCGGAAGCCGCAGCCAAGGCCGACCTTCAGAATTAGGGGCAGTGGCAACGAATTTCATGCGATCAAAAGTCGGTGACTCCTCTCGCATCAAGCGTCGTAGGTCCCGATCGACTTCCCGGAGCTCTTCAAAGAAGCGAGCCCATAGCTCTTCCCACACATCAAAAATGACATGCGCCGGCCATGCGTAACTGTGCTCCTCTCCCAACTTAGTCAGGTGGAGAGCCGCAGCTTCCCATACGGCATAATGCTGTTGTCCGTAGACGCAGGCCAGGCCCCAGGCTTGCCTCAAAGCGTTTCTCAGCCAAGTGCTAACAGTAGTAGGACCGCGCGGTCGCGGCTCGAGCTTGAGGTCCGGAGGGCTGGAGTAAGCATCGAATTCGGCTTCCTCGGTTTGTGGGAAATCAGCGGCGGACCCGCAGTGCAGCGGCAGGGACTTCACGTCCTTGGCTCCGAAGCTAGCCGACGCCAACGCGTAGCACAGGCGGTTGGTCAGGTTAACTGGAAACCGGAGTTGCCGTAGCTTCGGCCGGGCTTGGGTCGCAGCCGCCCTCAAACTATGATAGAGCTCTTTGCCAACAACGCCAGCGGCGAGTGGCACGTCCAAGCTGTCGCAGCCCCGCAAGAGGAAGATGAGCCGTTCCTCCTGCCGACCGATAGCTGAAAGCTTCCCCTTCTCCTGCCCTTGGTCGTCTTTGACAAGTGACCGAGCAATGGCCTGCAGGGCTTTGGCAGACTCGTCCAGCCTGGGGGGTTCAGCATCGGTATATGGAAAGGCCGCACAGCATTGGCGAGGACTTGATATCCACCGGGGATCGTGTTGCCTTGTACTGGAGGGCCGGTCAGGGGTGAGGGCCCGTGGCTACCGGGTCCCTCCTCGCGTGGCCGGAACAGGCTCGCCGCCGCAAAGGGAGTGCGTTCCGCCGGTGGAGCATTTTGCCCTGCTTCGATGGGGGGAACAGGAATCCCGGGCTCGGAGCGAGCCGCGGGAGGTTCTGTGCCTCCAAACAAGGTAAGGGCAGGGTGGCGCGGTTCGCCACTGACAAAAGGGGGAGCACCAGGAGAAAACTCGGTTCCCCCGCTCCCCTCCGTACCCTGCAGGTATGCGTGGAAAGCTCCGAGCACGGGGTCGTGCTCCTGAGGTTGCCCCTGTTCCGCAATCTCCTCCAGAACCTTCCGCGCGAGCCGCGGGTATTGGATGGGAAGCCGGGGCAGGTATTCCCGAGCTGCCCACTGCAGTGGACGTGCATGCGGGTCAAGACCATATTCCTGACAAGCCGCTGCGTACGCCTTCGCTGCTGGTTGTCCCAAAGCAACGTTGCGCACCAGCTTGCCCAGCGCCTCGGCGCGGGGGTTCGCGCCCCAAGAGGTTCGGGCCTCTCCTCGGAGTCACGTCCGGACCCAGTCTTAGCGCGAATCGCTCGCAGGCGTGTCGCGGGATCTGGCAGGTTCGCGACCTCGTCCCAAGTGAGGCTGAGCAACTGGGGCTCTGTTTCTCCCTGTGTTCGCCCTACTCCCGGTGGGGTTGAGGTGCTGCGAGGCTTAGTTTGGGAGTTTCGGGGCGTCACAGGAGCGTCCGCTGATGCGCAGGTGCCCCCGGGCGTGGATCCACGCCGCGGGGTATGCTTATCGGGCTCGGAAGTTCTCTTCGATTGTGAGCTGGTAGGAGGTTTGCGTTCCTCCTTGGCCCCGTGGAGCTTGCATAGCCGTACCCCACCTTTGGTGGTCCGACTAAGTTCCACGCACCCTTCGACAGCACATTTGCGCCGCGCACTGGCATGCATGCCCGTATAGGGCGGCATGCCTGGAGCATAGCCGAGCATAACAAACGCCGTCTTCTTCCTGCAACCCGACTTTGTCGCTGACGCGTGTGTCTGCCGGCAAGACCTGAATGCTGTCCCTAGGGCCAGGTCCTTGCACGGCTCTTTGCACAACGCTTGGGTTTTACCCCCTTCCTCCCACGCGAGCTGATCAGCTTGGCAAGCTTGGGCATTGTCATCGCCTTCGCTTTCCGTCTCGGACCAGTCATGCAGGAGGCGTGAAGGCTCTGGGCCGTTCTCCCCCCCCGGGCGCGGACCGCGCCGCGGGCGTGAGCCACAGCCACAGAACTGACAACACCGGCGCCGGAAGGAACACACGCAACCTCCCAGTGACTTCCAGAGGTAATACCCCTGGGCGCTGAGAAGCCACGTGGCCGTAAGGCACCTGCCGAAAGGGCCTTTGCCCGCCAACTCGGTGAGGTCCAGCTCTACCTCCCGCGGCACGACAGAGCTCGAGGTGACATGCACCTCTGCAGCTTCCGGTGCGGTGCAGGGTGATTGAGAGCAGAGGTGCACCCGGCAGTTCGCCCCCTCAAGGGAGTGCCGCCAGTAGCGGTGGGAACTCCCATGCACCGTGTCGCAGGGGCAAGTAAACCCATGCCGATTCGTGCGCCCCCGGATGGTTCCATGTCGCAGTCGTGCGAGAGCGGTACCATCGGTGACCAACAAATCAAAAGGGGCTTGACAAGTGCCTCTGCCCCGAACTTTGTCCTGGATGTACTGGGCGGTCCAGGCCACCTGTCCCGTGGGCCCACACCACACAAGACGGAAGGGCGTGCGGCCGTGGTGGGTCAGGACCTCATCCCACGGAGCGCGGCCCACCAAGTACTGTGCCAAAACGTAGGCAAACCTCGTTAGCGAAGGACCCAGACATAAGTCCAGTAGGCCAGCTGCGCGAGGGCCACCAGAACCATGCCCGCCATAAGCCAGTAGACCCACTTGGCCGCCAGGCCTATGGAGACACACAATATACCGCAGTATTCGATTCCTCCCTTTACAAACATGAGCAGGAACTTCATCGCGACTCGGAGGAACCAGGGTGGTGAGGGGTCGTCCTCTCGTGGCCCTTCCTCTCCTGAATCCACGGAGGGGTCCATTGTGGATATCTTGACCCACAACTTCCACCATTCACTCCACCAGCTGGCGTTACCCGGGCGCGAAGTCGCGCCACAGGTGCCATCCTGGTGTGCACAGGTCTGGGAGGTCTCGGACAGGCTACGGTTAGCAGACCATGGCCATTGCCACGGTTGAGTGCTGTGAATTTGGCTGCAAAAAAGCAGCAAACTCAGGAGGGGCCTCATCCTACCCTCGAGCCCGTGCTACGGGTAACAGGAAACTCAACGCCTACACGGCTATACAAGGCTACCAAGAAAATCTCCGCCCGGCATGATGGCCTGGGCTCTAGCTGTCCTGGGATGAAGGTTTGCTCGCTGCAGCGAATGTGTCCGCAGCAAAAACATTAACATCTCCACCTCCACCCCATAAGGGGCGGCATGATGGACTCAACTCAACTCGTCTTGCTGCAGCAAATGTGTCCACAGCAAAGACATGAAAATCTCCGCCCGGCATGATGGACTGGGCTGTAGCTGTCCTGGGATGAAGGCTTGCTCGCTGCAGCAAATGTGTCCGCAGCAAAAACATTAACATCTCCACCTCCACCCCATAAGGGGCGGCATGATGGACTCAACTCAATTCGTCTTGCTGCAGCAAATGTGTCCGCAGCGAAATCAGGACATCTCCGTCTCCACCTCCACCCCAGCGGGGCGGCATGACGGACTCAACTCAACTCTTCTCGCTGCAGCAAATGTGTCCACAGCAAAATCCTTCACATCGCCACCTCCACCCCACAAGGGGCGGCATGATGAACTCAGCTGCTCTTGCTGCAGCAGATGTGTCCGCAGCCAAGACAGCTGGTCCTGGGATCATGATTGGAGACGCGGCCTGTTCATTTCTGCATGACCCTTTCGCCCACGAACTACTCGGAGGTTCATGGGTAGTGATACAGTAAGTGGGGTTACACGGTATGACAAGTGCAGGTATAACACATATTAGGGGGCTCATAACCCGACGTATCACTACCCATGAACCTCCAAGTAAGGCACGTTACAAGAGTTGTAGATTCAGCGGGGCAAGAGTAATACATACTGCGAGCCCCAGGCGCAAGGTCACCAAGGTCCAACAAGCTCTCCGCACAGGCATCATCGGCCACTGGCTTGTCAGGATCTGGATCTGATTCCATAAAACTCCATAGTGTCATCGAGAATTGCCAACGTTGTATCGCCTCATCTCCTGCGCTTCCGCCGACAGCGGCGGCCTGAACAGCTGGCAACAGAGGCTTCCGGATTCCAAGAGCACCTTGTGGGGTTTCCTGAGTATACTTTGAATACGGTGGGCCCCGAAACCCTATTCAAATTGTTAAGCCCTATATTGGGCCAACTACTTCTTCAACATGCGCACCCGCGCTGGCCAGTTGCCCAAATTTAGCGGGAAAATCCTCAACCGAGTCATGCTTGAGGGATGTTTTGGGGGGAAACCTCAAGAGGATGATTGGTACTATTGATGATATAAGTCCTGCATTACCTCAAGGACCCTAAACTACGGAAATTGTGGTATATTCCTTATTATGGGTCATGCAGGATCTCTATCATCAACCGTAGCTACTGGCCCATGCCAAAACCGAGGCCTAGGTTGGCAGGAGTTCGAAATTCTCTTGTGACACGGTTGATGATATAAAACCTGCACGACCCATAATAAGGAGTATACCATAATTCCCATAGTTTAGGTCCCTTAAGGTAATGCAGGATTTATGTCATCAGCAGCAGTACCCCGTCTTGGTACCCTGCAGGACCCAATTAGGGTCCCGTTTTGGGTCGCTACCGCTAATATAGCACGGCACCTATTATTTCGGGTACCCAACAAGGGACCCTAATTTTGACAACTACCCACTTGTAGCTGAGCAGCTCAAACAGACTGCCAAGTCCCAAGCATGCTCAAGACCGATCAGCAGTGGGTTGATTCCTGTGGCCGCCGTCTTCAAGCAAGGGTCGCTTCCGATTGTGGCTGGCTGATGGGTCTCCTAGATTCAGCTGCAGGCAACTGCCCTTGGCACAGTTCGTGTTCGGTTTATGAACTGCTTGCTGATTATTCCTGGGTAACCATTATCTGCACAAAGCCCCCGTAGAAGCTTCAAAAGGCAACAGAAAGTGTCACATCTGCCAGATGTAACGCTCCTTGAGTTGTGGTTTCAACTTGGTGTTCATCTACGGCTTCCTTTCCATGTTTCTGCCACGGGTGTTGTTCTTACTACCTGACAGAATTCTTCCCAGCCTCGTTTGAGGACAAGTGGCAAATGACGAGGGGATGGACTTCCAGTTCGGCTCGAAAAAATTGTGGTTAATTAACACGTTCGATCTCAATCGCCCGAAATAGTTCAGTACCCTGCCAACGTAAAACCGCAAAGGTCACACCATGTCGTTAAATCTCTCAAGTGACTAAGATGCTATCTCAATCACGACAAGCCACAGGAAGCTTGCCTTGCTGCGCGCGTGCGTGAAGCAAGACTCTCTGCTTCGCCAGGGCACTCTCCCGATTCAGGAGGCGGATGCCAATGCTTTCTGAAGTGCTGCGTGCGCCTGCCCGTGGCGCAAAGAAGTCCGCCGCGAGCACCGCCGAGCGGAACCCCGGCAGTTCTGCCGATGCAAAGAAGCAGCCCATAGATCTCGAGACGGACGACAGCGGTCCAGGAGCTCGGGGATCCAGAAAAACAGCCGCAAGAGGCATCAAGCCCAGCTTCTCTAACTGGCAAAGCACCGCTGACACGGCATGAGAGCCAAGACTCCATCCAGCCAGGATCAGTCCTGGGGCCGAACACGGCCGAGCATGAGTGCAGAATGATGCATCAAGCCGCTGATCGACATGAAGCTACCTGATGTCAAACATCCATGGTAGAGAATGAACAGAATTCCGCGCAAGTACCAAGCATCAGCGCGTCAAAAGATGTGCCGCGCAGAGAGCGAGCCGGCAAAGCGCCAGAAAATGTCAGGAAACATGTTGAGAGCATTGCCCTGGACTCGTTCTCCGCTTGCTGTCTGCGCTGTCCCCCTATCACTGCAGCGGAAGACGATGAATGGCTGCGCGTGAGAATCGGACTCCTCAAGCAAAGGTGGCTGCCTGTCTTACCGGCCGCAGCTCGTGCGAAGCGGCTTAAGGTGCAGCCGCTTGAAGGCTGTGAACTGTGACCACTTCAAGCCGCACATGTTGCAAAACAACTAGCTGGCATGACACCGGCAAAGTCTTGGAGGCAAAATGTGCTTCCGCTCCGCTGCGATGGATGCATGCAATGTGGGCACCGCAGCCCAGCTGGCCAAGCCGACGTCAGAGCAAGTCATCGACACACTCAACTTGACACCATCATTTCTCCGGGACTTCACACCCAAAATTCGAGGTGCTTGCACAAGGGCTCTTGAACGGATACACGAACCTTCCTGCGCATGCTTCACGTGCAAGATCCAAATCACGAACAGGATCTGTCCCGTGTGCACTACACTGTGGATGATGTTTGCTTCTGCTCTGCTCTACTCCGCTCTGCTCTGTTCATGTGGTCACATGGCGGGAGTGAGCAAGAGGGCTGGGCTGATCATGCACGAATCGATCACCTGCAAAACTTTCAAGCATGAACCCCGCAGAGTGCTCCACCTGCTGAGGCTTCCACTAGACCTTGTGGATTGCTACATCGTCGTGAAAGTGCAGTTTGGCCGCAGCGGTTCAGCAGCTGGGCATGTCGGCCAAAGCCTCCAAGTGCACAGGCCATATGGTCTGAGGAAGTCGCTTGCCAAAGCCGGGCGCCTCCGATCCCACGTTGATCCAAGACCTTGAAGGTCGTGCAGATGGCATCACAGCCCAAGCACTCTCTACCACGGTTCCGCAGACCCTTTACAAAGGTGGGCACCCCGCAGCAAAGGCGCTGACCAGGAGCTGGAGACGCTTCTGTGACTTCGCTGGGGGGTCGCCGCCCTCATTGCCGCCAAGCCCCGCCCTTGGGCCCAGCCGGCTTCTAAAGACAGGGTGAACACCGGCTCAAAGGAACAAGAAGGAAGCACAGTTCGGGTCTGTAGGGTTGGTGTGGACGCAGGAACAGCCGGGTTGGTTCTAAGCTACAATTCGAAAGTCTCCGAGTGCAACCTTCGAAGCCGATGCCTTGGCACAGGCTTCGGCCCTGTGAGAGACGTGATTTGCCGGTTCTCCGAGGGGTCGAACTTTGCCCGTCGTCCAATCTGCTGAGCTTCCAGCACACAGCTTCCTGCATCGTAGCGAAGCATGCGACTCATTGCCCGTACCGTGTGCTCATCCAGTGCAACGGCTATGGCCATTAGTCACTTAGTCTATGCCTGCGCCTAGATACAGTTGGTGCGCCTGTCTTTGGCCATCAGGGTTCTACCCCCTTGCAGAATGCGGAAGACAAGAGCACAGGCTCCTCACAAACGTTTGCCAAGGAACTGGCAATGAGGAGAAAGACCGGACGACGCGTCCCTTGGCGTGATGTGGCGTCGCTCGATGGCACTTTAAGGGACGCGCACCAGGACTCTCAATGTACTTCACGGATCGAGACAGGCTTCAAGGATAGAAGCTTGCAAGAAGCTTCTGCTGCATCGCTCTGAGATTCGAGAAAGAGGCCGAACGGACTTGATCATGCTTGCCACATGGGTGTAGCAACGCTTGCTTGGATGGTCAAAAATGAACTTTGCGATCCAAAGAATACGGGATGTGAAACCTGATGAATATCTTGAAAAGCCAATGTCTCCCCTGTACCCACGTAGCTTCTCAGCTTCTCCGCTCCACAACAGTGCCCAACTCACTGACCATGGGCCTGAGTGAATTCGTGCACAACTGGCCACCTCTCCACGGAAAAGCAAGACGTGTCTTCGATTTCTTTTGCACCCCAGCAGACCCTCAACCTCGCCCCTCCGCTTTCAGAAACTGCAGTCTGCTTGTTTGCTTTAAAGCTGTCGAGTCGCATGAGATGAATCATGGACAAGCAGCCACGGCTCTTAGGAAGCAATAGGCCTTGGTGTATTTCTCACTGCAACCTTTGTGGATTCACGAAGCACGCTGCCTGCAGTAGCAACGATTTGAGGCAGTGGTGTGAAAACTAGATGCCACAAGTGTGTAAAGAACCAGCACCAAGGCCCTGCCAGGCCTTGAGTTGGGAAGTTGGCACCATCACGCAAGTGCTCGGAGGA